CCCCAAAACCCCAAAACCCCAAAACCCCAAAACCCCTTTTAATAAAATAAAAGTTGAAATGCAAAGTAAAATGTCTATTCAGCCAGTGATGAAGACTACTGTGAGGAAAGTCAGAAGAAAATTGACAATGGAAAATTTCAAGTCTCTTCAGAACAATAAATTAAGTCTTCAGGGTAAGTTTTTGCCGGTCAATTTCTATAGAAAAAGTACAACATAGTCGTTCTCTCGTGAAATCAAAACAGGTGAAAAGAATCATATCAGCCGAGAAATTCAGACTCCATGATGACTCTTTAAGAAGCTCATACGATGAACTAACAGGAGAGCTCTATGAGAACAAACTAAAGCCAGGACAATGGAATACTCCATTCTTTTCACCTAAAGAGAAGGTAAACAATGATTTCATATGATTAATGTGAATGCTAGATCTTATAAAACTCTGGATTAAAGAAAAAGTTCATTTTGTGTTAAAAAGTCTAATATATCTTATATAGACAAGCCCTCAAAAGAAGTCTATCAGAACTGAGATGAAGCATCAAAAGTCTCTACAGTATCACGGTAAGCTTACTGATTACTAATTGTCGTGCTAATTGCTACTTTAGTGGTATATAAATAAAGAGAAAAAGAAAATGGTCTTTCCAAATTTGATATCCTGATTTATTAACAAAAATAACAAGAGTAAATTTATATTAAATCATGGTCTAGGACTTAACAAGAGTAGAAAGAGCAAGCAAACCTTCTGTAGTAGTTTTGGGTAGGTCTTTCCTAAATTTTCGATGGATTATAATATGTGACACATTTTTATAGAAAATAGCCATGTAAAAGCACAAGATGAACAAAAGTCTTACCAAAAGTCACTTAAATCAAAAATTTCCTTCAATAATATTTCACTTGCCGGAGTTTTCCAGAAAAGCACATTTTTCAGAGAAAATTAAGGAAAAACATAGTAAAACAATTAAATAATATTTAGAGAGATCAGATGGCCTTAGGTTAAGTGAAAGGAAGAGTTCACAACCTGTTATGAAGATACCTAAGAGATCTGAAAAAGAAGAGTGTATAACACTTCGAAAAGTTCCTGAAACTACTGTCTACCTGAAGAATTTTGTTACTCTCAACAAGAAAATAGCAGAGCAAATGAAAAAGCCAAAGGTAATTGATTATAATATCCTGGGTCTCACCACTATTGTAGAAACTAAGTTCTGAGAACTTGAGAGATAAATTATGGAATCCTGATATAGTACAGAACATATCTCAGAAATATATCAATGACAAATCCCGGGATAAATTTTATGTAGATATTAGTAATAATTTTAGAAAACCCTCACCACTCAGAGTTCCCATCTAAGAAAGGATATATGCACTAGCACCAAAAAGCATCTGTTAGCCCTGTAAGATACTCTTTATGCTTCTTATTTAATTTCAAATAGGGAAAAGAAGAGACTTAAGAAGATAATGAATATTCCTATTAGCTTCTGCTAGAGATATGCTACTGTTGTAAGAGAGTCTTCTCTGACTAAAGAGTGAGATTTTAGAGATTTAGGTTGATACTATATCACTTCCAAAATCTCTTCTTTCCGCTCGATTCTGTTTTAATAGATTTTTCAACTTGGCTGACACTATTAGGGGTTTTGGGGTTTTGGGGTTTTGGGGTTTTGGGG